AAAATAATACCAGCCTGGTTTAACAAAAGCACACACTGGAAAATGTATGAATAATTTGTGTTTAGTCTACTAAAAGGACTTTACTATTGTACATAAGACCTTATGCTTTCATTTGGGTCACTAAAGTGAAGTTAGTAAACTAATTGGACACCTCAAGAAATTATACATTTCTAATGAATTAGCATCAATATTGTGCTTGTTAAATTATCTGTGTCCTGTAACTACCTAGAATCTCTTGAAGGTAGAGATCATATTTAATTCATCATACTGATACTTAGTACATGGTAAAGATGCCTTAAATATATATAAAGAAAATGAATGAGTCATAACCATAGTAATCCTATGTACCATGACATCAGAAAATTTTCATTCTAATAACCAGTAACTTCAGAGGGGTTCCAAAATGGCAGATTAGAGACAGGGCAAAATTAATACTAAAAAAGTAGAGAATGTACACTCTCAGGGAAAAGCCACAGCAGAAAATGCAGTGGGAGATATTCCTAAAGCAATAGAAGTAGCCCAGAGCTGTGCAAAAAGTGCCAATATACAGCAAGGTGCAATGAGACAATAAAGATCCAGCAGCTTGGATCTGGGGAAGAAGGCACCTGCCCTTGCAAGCCAGGTGATATATGACTGCATGAGCCTACACTGCTGTTGATACAGCAGGAGGGAGAGCTTAGTGAACTGCACCTTTTTTATATATGTGTTTATTATACATCTATTGTATGCCAGGAACTTTGTAGGTGAGGATACAATGATAAGGAAAAAACATAGTGTTCACTTTCGTGGAGTTTAGAGTTCAAATAGAAAGACAAACATTAATACTATTGAGCAATTGCAGCTGAAGTAGGGGTACCCATTGATATGAGCTGATTTAACTCTGGGAGTTCAAGGACTTTTTCCTAGGAAGATATTTCCATAGAAGCAAGAGTGGGAACAGCTTATACAGAGGCCCAGAAGGATGAGGGATGCTGATGAGAAAGAGGAGCTGAATAAATGCCATTGTGGGTAGGTGCAAAGAGACAGGATATGTGGTACAGGCTGGATGAAGCAGGCAAGCAGTGTTTTGTAACATTTATTTGAGTGCTTAGGTGTCCAGTACTATTCCAAATATCTTTTTTTCACTTTTATTTAATAAGTATAAATTTTCTGAGCTGCATCTTTTCAAGTCCAGCCTGGATCACTCAGGACAGCGGGGTGCCGCTCACCCAGAGCGAGGGTAAAAGTGGCACATTTCTCCCTCTCCCCTTCTCCCTGCTACAGCAGCAACCTACAGCAGCAGTGGGGAGGACTGGTGCCATTTTGACATGGGCAGTAGCAGCTGCTGCCTACAGGACACTCCTACATGCCCAGCACAATTGTGAAGTGAACAGGGCTGTGGTTGTTGGGTATTTTGCATGACTGTGATCCAGAGATCTTACCAGAGAGAAAAATCTGTGTTCCCCACTGGCACTGAATCTGGTTGGGAGGACCAGACTTGATCCAACAGGCTGGAACACACATAATCAGTGACTCTGGAAACACCTCAGTCTCCTTGAGGACAGGATAGGCTAGTGGGTTGGAATGGCCCCACTGGCATTCCTTGACCCTAAGAGACCTGGGAGTTGAGACTGAGAAAACAATGTGACTGTGTGAGAGGAGGTAGAGTGTAGGTGGGTTATGGCCAATCACAGAGTCCTGCTGCACACTCTCAATGCTCTTTGGTTGCCCAGAGCTGCTCATAGCAGAGAGAACCATGCTCACAGAAATGACTGTGCAGATCATGTGTGGCTCATAAGGTGGTACAGATGAGTGTTGAACACAATGAGGGCTAGCACTGGGCATTCCTCAGCTTGGAGGAGAAGGAGTGGTCACCTTTGTTGACCAGTTAACCAGAAAAGAGCTACCATGCCCAAGTTGGGTGTTACCCTGGATACTCACCCCATCCTGGAGCACTGACCAGAGCTCCTTGGCCACACTCACCACACACCTCTTGGTATTCACTTAATGGGTAGACAATCATCTAAGCCACAGAGGCATAGCTCAAAGATAAAAGCCATCAGAGGGGAAAAAAATTCTACAAGTGCCTAAAACTAAATGCAGAACTTTAAGAAACAAGAAAAAAGGAGACACTATGACCCCCTCAAAGGTACACAACATTTCAATATTAGAATGTGAAGATGAAGATACTGAGGAAATACCAGAAATGGAATTCAAAAAATTAGCCATAGTTTTACTCAAAAGAATTAGAATCAAATCCATGAACTAAAGAAAACCATATATGATACGAATGAAAATTTTTCCATGAAACTGAGATTTTTAAAGAAAAATCAAAATGATATACTAGAATGATGAATTCAATTGATGAAATAAAAAATGCAGTGGAAACCTGTAACAACATATTTGATGAGACAGAAGAAAGAATATCTGAGTTAGAAGACAAATCTTGGAAGAATGTCCAGCATATGGGTCTTAAGAGTTTCTAAAGGTGTAGAAAAAGAGAAGGGACTAGAAGACCTGCTTAGTAAAATAATTACAGAAAAAATTCCATAAATTGGAGAAAGAAACAAATGTGCAAGTACAGGAAGCACATAGAACTCCTAACAGATAATGAGAGGAGATCTTCACCATGACACATTGTACTCAAACTTTCCACAGTAAAGCATAAAGAAAAGATTCTAAAGTGTGCATGAGAAAAATGCCAGATTACTATCAGAGGATCTCCAATTAGACTCACAACTGACTTCTCATCAGAAACCCCACAGGCTACAAGATAATGTCAAAATATAGTCCAAAGAGTAAGAGAAAGAAACTGTCAACCTAGAATACTGTACCCTGCAAAACTCTCATTTATGAATGAAGGTGAAATAAAGACCTTCCACAACAAACAGAAATTGAAATAATTTGTCACCATTCATTCAGCCTTACAAAAGATTCATAAGAATGTGCTACACACAGAAACACATAAAGTCATCATCAAGAAAGAATACAAAGGCAGTGAAAACCAGTAAAATTACAAAAGAAATCCAAAGTAAACAATAGGAATACTCACAGAAAAATGACAGGATCAAGTAGTTACATATCAAGAGATACCTGAATGTAAATGGCCTCAACTCTCCAGTTAAGAGATACAGACTGGCAGAATGGATTAAAAAACAAGACCATCTATTTGCTTATTACAAGAAACGCACCTAACCAACAAAGATACATGTACACTGAAAATGAAAGGGTGGAAAAAGATATTCCATGATAATGGGGAAAAGGGCTGTGTAGCCATCCTAATATCAGACAAAATAGACTTTAACACAAAAACTGTTAAAAGAGACAAAGAAAGGCACTATGTAATGATTAAAGGATCAATAAACAGGAATATGTGACTATAATAAATGTATATGCACCCTATTAGAGAGAGTAGCTATTTAAAAAAACTGTTAACAGATCTAAAGGGAGACATAGACTTTGATACATAGTAATGGGGGACTTCAACATCCCACTTTCATCAATGGATAGATCTATCAGATAGAAAATCATCAAAGAAACAACAGAGCTAATTGGCACTATAGACCAAATGGACCTAACTGATATTAATAGAACTTTTCACCCCACAGTTGCAGAATACACATTCTTCTCATTGGTGCATGGACTCTCTCTAGGATAGACCATACAATAGGCCATAAAGCAAGTCTCAGTAAATTCAAAAAAATCAAAACCATACATCCACCTTCTCTGATCACAATGGATTGAAGCTCAAAACCAACAACTCAAGAATCTCAAGAATGTATGCAAACACATAGAGACTGAACAACATGCTTCAAAATGAACAGTGTGTTATAAGAGAAATCAAAAAAATTCTGGAAAGGAATGAAAATGACAGTACCTCATATCAAAACTTATGAAATACACCCGGTCGGGGTGCCGGATTCTGTCCCGGTTGCCCGTCTTCCAGGCCAGCTCTCTGCTGTGGCCCAGGAGTGCAGTGGAGGATGGCCCAGGTGCTTGGGCCCTGCACCCCATGGGAGACCAGGATAAACACCTGGCTCCTGCCTCCAGATCAGTGCAGTGCACCGGCTGGAGCACGCCGGCCGCGGCGGCCATTGGAGGGTGAACCAACGGCAAAGGAAGACCTTTCTCCCTGTCTCTCTCTCTCTCACTGTCCTCTCTGCCTGTCAAAAAAAAAAACTTATGAAATACAGCAAAGCAGTGTTAAGAGGGAAGTTCATAGCAATTATTGCCCACATCAAGAAACTAGAAAGTCATCAAATAAATGAGCTGTCAATGCATCTCAAAGACCTAGAAAAACAACAAACCAAACCCCAAATTAGTATGATGAAAGAAATAATTAAAATTAAGGAAGAATAAACAAAATTGAAACCAAAAGCAATACAAAAGATTGATGAAATGAAGAGTTGGTTTTTTTGAAATAATAAACAAAATTGACACTTGGCCCAGCTAAGCAAAAAATGACATTTGGCCCAACTAAGCAAAAAAAAAAAAAAAAAGAAAAAGAAAAAGAGGAAGAAGGAGAAGACCCAAATTGACAAAATCAGAGAAGAAAAATGAAATGAAACAGATACCACAGAAATAAAAAGAATCATCAGGAATTACTACGAAGAACTGTATGCCAACAAGTTGGGAAACCTAGAAGAAACAGATAGATTCCTAGACATATACAACCTATCTAAATTGAGTCATGAAGACATAGAATACCCAAACAAACCAATAACCAAGACAGAAACTGAATCAGTAATAAAGATCCTCCCAAGAAAAAAATCCTGTGTGGAGATCTGGAGGAAGCTCCTGGCTCCTGGCTTTGGATCAACCCAGCTCTGACCGATGTGGCCATCTGGGGAGTCAACCATTGGATGGAAGACCTCTCTCTCTCTCTCTCTCTCTCTCTCTCTCTCTCCCTTTGCCTCTCTGTAACTCTGCCTTTCAAATAAATAAATAAGTCTTTTTAAAAAGTGTAATCTATGGAAGTTAAACTGACACTTTGAGATACAATGATTTTGAACAGCCCTTACCTTGACTGTAGAGGAATAATGTTTTTCTTGTTTGCTTCTTTTCTCCTTTTTTCTTCATACTAGTCAGTGAACTCTCTTCCTAGTGTGGAGTTAATCTTATGAGTATAAAAATTAGATGAAAATTGATCTCTGTAAAAAATAAGAGGGGAAAGGAAGGGGAGGAGGAAGAAAGGCATGAATATGTGTAGGAGGGAGGTGGGGGGAAGATAACTATGTTCCCAAATCTATATCTATTAAATGCATGAAGTTGTATTCTTTAAACAAAATAAAACAAACCAAAAATTTTTAACTTCATAAACTAATTAAATAAGATGCCATCAAGACTATACTTTCAGGGATCATTTCTATAGTTTGCTACTAAATAAGATACCATCAAAATATCATCCGTTTCTTTTTAATCAACAGATTTGTTCTTTAACCATCATTTAAAAATTTATTAATAACAATTATACATATTTATGTTCTAGAGGAAAATGTTTAAGTTCATGTATACAATTTGATCAAAACAGGGTCATCAACATTTCCCCTTCTCTAACATTACTTTATGATTAGAGGCATGGAGCTTCCTCCTTCTGTTTATTCTTACAATATCTATTAGATTATTGTTAGCTATAGTCTCTCCACTATGGTGTGTAACACTAGGAAATTATTCCTTTGATCTAAATCTGATTTGGTAACCACTATCCAAGCTCCCTCTGCCCACCCTCCATACCTTCTTCATAGCCTCTAGTAATCACCATTCTGTGTTCAGATTGATGTATTTTTGTTTGGTTGGTTGGATTTTTTTTTTGGCTTCTACATATGAAGGAGGACATGACGTATTTGTCTTCTGTGTCTAGCTTATTTCACTTAACATGATATGCCACCCGTCTCAATCAAACTCAAAAAGTATATCCATTAATAATGGTAATTCTTCTTACTCTGCATTTAGAAGAAAGACATGAATTTCTGGAACTATCTCCTACACCTTCTATATCAAGAACTACCATGTATAAAGTTAAGAATAATGAGTCTAGGGGTCAGTGCTGTGGCATAGCAGGTAAAGCCACCACCTACAGTGTCAGCATCACATATGGGTGCCAGTTTGAGTCCCTGCTGCTACACTTCCAATCCAGTTCCCTGCTAATGTGCCTGGGAAAGCAGTGGAAGATGGCTCAAGTTTTTGGGTCCCTGCACCCACGTGGAGACGCAGAAGAAGCTCCTGGCTCCTGACTCTTGGCTACTGGCTCCTAGCTCCTGGCTTTGGATCATCCCAGCTACAGCCAGTGCAGCCATTTGGTGAATGAACCAGCAGATGGAAGATCTCTCCCTCTCCCTCTCTCTTTGTAACTCTGCCTTTCAAATATGTAAGTAAATCTTTTAAAAAATGACTCCAGGAATGGGTATTTGGCTTACCAGATAAGATGCCAAAATATTATATCAGAATACTTGAATTTGATTACTAGCTTTGATTCCTGAATCCAGCTTTCTGCTAGTGCAGACCTGGGAGGCAGAGGTGGTGACCCAAGTGATCAGATTTCTACCACCCATGTAGACAACCTGAACTGAGTTCCTGTCTCTCAGCTTTGGTCCCAGCCTTGCAGTTATTTCAGGCATTTGGGGAGTGAACAGTAGATGGCTGCATTATCACTCTATCTCTTGTCCTCTCAAATAATAATAGTGATAATGAGTCTAAGACACCAGTGGAATCATAACAATGGTTACTATTTGTTTACTGTTTTAAATATATAATTGTTAATAGAAATAAATTTATTTAAGTTAAAATTCTGAGAGATAAAAGTAACAAATTATATTTTTTGGTTTTTTAAATGAAAGAAGACAAGTGTTTGATAAGGTTTTACTTTTTAAGGATAACTTATTCATGAATTGTATTTACAGCTAAGTTTTGCTTATTTATTCTATTTGAAAAGCAGAGAGATATAGAGACAGACAGACAGAGAGCCCTCCCATCCACTGGTTCACTCCCAAATATCAGCAATAGCTGGGGCTGGGCCAAGCTGAAGCTAGTAACCAGGAATTCAATCCAAGTTTACTACATGGGTGGCAGGGAGCCAGCTTCTTGAGCCATCGCCACTGCCCCCCGTGGTGCCCATTAGCAGGAAGCTGGAATTGGGAGTGGAGCCAGTACTCAAATTCAGGCACTCCCAAATGGGACACAGACATCCCAAGAAGCAGCTTAGCCACAACACAAAATTCCCACCCTTAGACCTAGAGCTAAGTTTTGAACTCTAAATCAACTTTAGAGTGAAAAATGCACTAATATTGCAGAAACACTTACTATATCAAGTTACAATTTAGACAACAAAATCTCACTAACCAGAAAACCATATTCTTCCAACAGTAACATAACATAATAAGTTTTTTTCTGCCCTCTATGTGAACACCTTTTCTTTTCTACTATATGTGTTTGGGTGGCAGCCAGAACTACTCTCCAAGGAGGCTGAAAGAGCCAAATATTTGATATTTCAACCTCTGCTTTGGTATGGATGTAAGCACTTAACCTGCATTTAGTGACCAGATGTTTCTGTTCCAGACCTTGGGCATGAGCACTGGTGTGACAGAGAAGTGGGAGCAGGGCTGATTCCCTCTGGCAGTCCAGGTAGAAATGATTTCTCCACCAGAGTAAGGGCGGTGCAAGATGCAGCTATAGCCTTTGGTACTCCTCAGAGGAAACAGTGGAGATCCCCTGAAGGCTCTCATGGCATGGTTTTGGCTGTGTGACCTCCCTCACTCTTACCCATTTGCAAGGTCCAGTTCTATAGTTCTCTAAGGATTCTGAAAATACCAAGTAGACTTTTCAGAAATTATTTTCTTTGCCTAAATTCACTATATTATTTATTTGGTTATAATTATAAACCACAGGGCAGAAATATGCTTGTATCTAATTAATAGCTATATAGCACAGGTTTAGTTTTATCTACAAGGAGTGTTGGACTTCTATCATGCCAAGTTGTACTCTAGTCATTTTGGAAAATGGCACTTGCATTGCAGAGTGGAAAGGTTTAGGAACCAATGCATTAAATTGTTCATTTATTGCTGTCATGTTCATGATATTTTGTGTATACCTTCACACTCTTCAGTAAAACCTTGCCAATGACCTGAGAGTTATGTACTTTCCTGTCTCTACTATAATTTTAATGTGCTTCTAGAGTGTCCCAACCTGATGATCTCTTAATGTAAACAATAGTAGTTAAGGAGAAATTACCAGGTTTAATTTTATATATCAACACTCTCATTTTCTTCCTGCTTTCTTGAGGAAAATTTCCCCAGTATTAATGTTATGAATTAAATGGCTTTCATATGAAAAGAATTTCTATGACTTTATACCAAGGTTTTTTCATTTTTAGGATACTGAAAAAATAGATTTTCTGCAGCGCTTTTGGGTAATTATGGCAATTTGAGGGATCAAGAAGAGCTGTCATTTTTTATGTTAAATCAGTTAAGATTCTACTGTATTCCCATCATTGAAGGGTGGAAGAAAGCAGGAGGATGATGCCACCAGCACCGTGTGAGGCCAGGAAATTAGTCATGACTTTAACAGATTAGACATCATCAAATAAACAGGTTGTCCAGGACTTCAACACCATCTAATTTCTAAATTTAAAAATGTGATAGGTTCTCAGTGCTTGCTCAGACATGCATCTGAAGAATCTTCACATTCCTGCTTATACACACCCCAGGATTCTGACAGATGTGAAGTGGATGCATTAACTCAAGGCAAAACAATTTCATCTTTTCTGTGAGAAAACTTCGTGAAGTCAAGTCTGATGGAAGTCACTGTATTTCACTAACAACCACCTCTTCTTACATTAACATTATTCAGTCTCATATGATCTGAAGGTTATATTCACACACACACACACACACACACCCCAAGGAAAGAAAGTTTCCATACAAAAGTTGAAGCTGATGATCTGTTTTGGTTTTTTTTTTCGCTTATGGCTTCTCTCAGGGTGTGAAATACTCTGATTCCATTCAGTCATGTGCCAAGTGAAATAAAAGACAGCATGATAAATATCTTCATCTTTCTTTCCCAGTTGTATTTTGCTATATCATATCATTCAATAAAATGTATTTTGAGTGGCACATATTTTGGTGGGATAAAAGTCTATCACTTTAGTCTGTAAGTCTGGGTACAATACAAGAGAAGAATGAGGGTAGAGTCTTCTAAATATGGGTTTCTGCGAGTATCTGAATATTGTAATTATATTCAACACTTGGTATTTTCTCAAACCTTAAGTAGGACAAGAACTAAAATTTGCATCAAAACAAACATTTTTAATTCCATTTTTCATAAATTTTTCAAAGTACCCTCATATGTATTGAATGGAATAATATTTGGCCTTCAAAAAGGAAAACAAAGAAATCCGTTCATTTGCAACAACATGAATAAACTTATAGGATATTATCCTATGTGATTGCAGCACTGAATGAGGAGAAAGAGATTAGAATCTGGGAAGCATTGGAGAAGAACTCAAAAAGAAGAAAGAGTTGGGGCCGGTGCTGTGGAAAAGCCCCTGCCTGCAATGCTGGCAACCCATATGGGAGCCAGTTCGAGTCCTGGCTGCTCTGCTTCCAATCAAGCTCTCTGCTATGGCCTGCGAAAGCAGTAGGAGATGGCCCAAGTCCTTAGGCCCCTGCACTAGTGTGGGAGACCCAGAAGTCGCTCCTGGCTCCTGGCTTTAGATTGGTGCAGATCCAGCCACTGTGGCCAACTGGAGAGTGAACCAGCAGATGGAAGACCTCTCTCATTTGCTTTCTCTGCCTCTCCTACTTTCTGTGTGTAACTCTTACTTTCAAATAAATAAATAAATCATTAAAAAGAAAAAGAAGGCTGGCGCCGTAGCTCACTTGGCTAATCCTCTGCCTGTGGTGCCGGTACCCTGAGTTCTAGTCCCGGTTGGGGCGCCGGATTCTGTCCCTTTTGCTCTCTTCCAGTCCAGCTCTCTGCTGTGGCCTGGGAAGGCAGTGGAGGATGGCCCAAGTGCTTGGGCCCTGCACCTGCGTGGAAGACCAGGAGAAAGCACCTCGCTCCTGGCTTCAGATTGGTGCAGCACGCCAGCTGTTGCGGCCATTTGTGGGGTGAACCAAGGGAAGGAAGACCTTTCTCTCTCACTGTCTAACTCTGCCTGTCAAAAAAAAAGAAAGTAAGAAAAAGAAAAGAAAAAAGAGTTGAGATAGGAGTGAGGTAAACCAGGAGAATGTGATGATCCAGAACCCACACAAGAGAGGGCAGGGAAAAAGAAAGAATAATGATGATTAGTGTCAACAGATGCAGAGTGGTAAATAGGATGACAATTCCAAAATGTCCACTAAATTTTCATCT